TTCACAGCCCCACATTTCTAGAGCCAGCGCCAGACCCGGTTCCACTTGGGCAAAGGTTCCACTTGGCTTCCTCGACGCCCACCTGCCCGTCCCCACCCTTTCCTCGAGGGAGGGGCTCAGAGCACAGAGCCCCCCCACGTAGGCCTCAGGCCCTGGCACTGCTCTGCTGTTCCTAGGCCTGGTGCTGGCCTGGGGGCGGGGGGGGAGAACGTGCTGGGTTAACTCAGCACCGGACGGGCGGGAGCAGGCAGGACGAGCGGATCGGCTCAAGTGAAACACTGGGGTTCGGCCTGGTGCTGCCTGGGGTGACGCCGGGGTCCCCTGGGCAGAGCCCAAGGCAGATGAATCCCAGTTCTGCTGTGTCTCTCTGTAACTGGTCAGTGCAATTCCTTTGTAGGAGAACGGCTGTGTTTAAATCCATGGCTGAATGCCCAGGCTGGTTACAATGGTCCCCTGGGCCAATGTAGAGGTAGCCCCAGTGTTTAACCAGCCTGACAGGCAGGAAGCTTTTCCTAATGTCCAGCCAAAAGCTCCCTTGCTGCAGTTTAAGCCCCTTGTTTCTTGTCCTATCCTCAGAGGCCAAGGAGAACACTTTTTCTTCCTCGTCCTTGTAACACCCTTTTCGATACTTGAAAACTGCTCTCATCCCTTCTCAGTCTTTTCCAGACTAAAGAAGCCCAGTTCCTTCAATCGTCCCTCCTAGCTCATGTCTTAGACCAGCCCTCACTTTTCTGACACTGTCGGTGAACATCAGAGCAGGGGGGAGAGGTGCGGATGGGGCGAAGGGCAGGTGTGGCAGGAGGAAGATGTGAAGGTTCACCCCGGGGCACTGAGCAATCAGCACAGAGCACTTATAAGGCTCCGTCTTCCCGCTGTCCAAGTGCTTCACAGGCCCCAGTGGTTATCCTTCCCGTGCCCCCGGAGGCAGGGCAGCAGGCTGTATCCCCGTGATGCAGATGGGGGAACTGAGGCAGAGGCTAAATGACATGCACAAGGTCACCCAATCGGGCAGTGGCAGAGTTGGGACTGGAGCCAAAGTCTCCTGAGGCAACGACACCGGACTGATGTGTAGCAGCCGAGGAGCAGAGCCTCCGACT